TTACTCACTATCTATACACACATTACCTTCCCCTCTTATATATACCAGCCTACCCCATCTAGCAAATACTAGAGCATTCATGAAAAAACAAGATAGTTCTAGAAAATAGAGGGCGCCACACCAGTCACGTGACCTCGATGACGCAACAGTATTGTTACGTCTCTGATCGTTGGTTAATTTTCCGTAGAAATTCTTTCCGAAGAACTTCTGCGATACAAATCCTTTCTTAAATAAAACTAGTTTATTCTTTCTCAATACAACTTTGCAATACACTTAATTTCCACAGTCATTTTCACTTCAACACACGCTATAATTCACAACGAACGATTCACGCATTTTTTTACTACCGCGCTTGACTCAATTGTCCGTCTCTATCTCTGCCTGTCATGTTTTATGTATTATATTTTTATATGTTTAATAATAATATATATATATAATATATATATATATATATATATATATTAATAATATATATTTATTTTAAAATAATAGCTTCTCCGTGGATAGTTCTTTCCATATTCGTTAGTCTGTAATTTAGGTAGTTGAGGCGACAAAAAAGTAGAATAGGTGCATGTAAATAAGTCTATATCACGTAATGTAGCTGTTTTTTGCATGAGATAAGTGATTTGATTTTATATTATAAATAATGAACAAAATTTGAGCCGAGTAAGTTGCATGTTTAGTTAAAAAGTTGATAAGCTCTTAATTAATCAGTATTAGCTTCAGTACTGGCCTGACGGTTAGGGAGCTCGACTCGCAATCTGCGGGTTGCGTATCAAAATCTTGCGCCGAAAATGGTGTGGGAGCATTATAATTCGACGGTTAGTCCCATTATTATACTTGTTAGAAGACAATGGTATTAAGCTTATTACATTTTTAAACACTAAATTTTTTATCTAGTCCATTAGGGATTTTTAAGAAGTATAAAAGTGTATAATAATAGTATTCCAACCACACTATATTTGTCAAATCCATTGCTGATGATGCGTTTCGCTAAATCCCGAGCTTCTTAGGCCGGCTGGGATACAACAAACACTGTAAGTGATCGGAACACTATTTATATAAGCCGTTTGTTACAACAACAAAAGTTGTTCTGGTGTGAACGCTACTTACAAACTGGCGATAAATGATTATAATTGTCACAAGACATTAGTTTTACGCCTGTTACATTTTTAAACACTACATTCTTTATCTAGTCACTAGTATGGTTGTAGTATTATTAGTATAATACGCTTTTCTAATTCTTCCAAATCTCTAGGGGACTAAATTTAAAACGTAATAAGCCTAATACTAATGTCTTCTGACAAGTATAATTATAATCGTTCATCGCCAGCTTGTAAAAGGCTTGCACACCATAAGAATTCCATTATTCGTTAGTAAAACGTTACCTAAGAAGAACGGTAACAAATAGTCTTAATAGCTTTGCCATAAACAAACAAACTTCAGTACTTTTATATAAACCTGTTACTATTCCTTATGAAAAGACTGAATAGGTTTTAATAGAAGGATAAAAGATAACTATCACATTGAACTTTTAGCAACAAGGAAACTGTTTCAAAATTATTTAGCATTATTTTTATTTCTACATCAAGGTTTTAAAAATTAATGCACAAACTTTCCTTGTTCTCTCGTTTTCTTGTTAGGTTTCTAAGCCAAGTTATTATACTTGTTTGTGAATTAAACTGGTATTGATTTCTTTTCGGCCTTTGGCCGTAACGCTTTGCGTGTGTATTCAGTACCACAAAATAATTGCACTGCTAGAATCCTGCAGTGTGTACATGGATACAAAAAATTACTCGTTATGTCATTTTTCGTTATTTATTTTATTGCCAAGCACTTATTTTTTTCAGAATTTTTCAAAAAACCAAATCATTTGGATATAGTGAAGCCTACTTTGTAGGTTTTTATTGGGATACTTTTAGTAATTGTGAAGTTAATGTCATGACGTAGACATTACTTTCAAGGTAAAATTGTTCTCAAAAACTAAATTTGGACAATTTATTTTATTTAACCATTTTTATTGTTGTCGAATTTCTAGCAAAATAATCGAAAACCATCTGTGTTAGCCGTCCATAATTTTGAAGTAGTAGACAAGTAGCAGCTAGTCGACACCACCAACTTTTGGGCTATACATTACGAACTAATATGGGATTAACCCATGACTGAAAGGGCGAGCATATTCAGTGACTGACTTCGATCTCTAATGCCCTAATAACCAGGCTATACCAGGCCTCAGACCATTTATTTTAGATAAGTGTAACGGCAAGGCATTAAATCATCACTCAAATATTAGCAATCTCTCAACATGTAAATTTCATAAATTCATATGTATTATAGTCCACAAACGGCAGTGATAGGGCTCCTAATATAATTGTTGTAGTAATTTTATGGTAAAAAGAGAAAAATAAGCCTTTTTTTTAAATCAGAATTGACTCTGTTTAATTTTTTTCTCAGTTTGGTAACTGTACAGTAGTAATTTATTCCTTTATATGCAGACTCCATAAGTGAACTGAATATAAAACTCATCAAGCAATCATCTTGTTAGTTATCACAAACAAAATGAGCAACTCGTTCATGAAGTTATAATGTTGGGACTGATTTAATCTTATGTACGCTTGTGAAGGCCAGGAGTATTACTATTAGGGCGCATGTTCCCCGGTGGTACAGAAGTAAGTGACTTATAACGCAAGAATCCGGCTTTCGATTCCCCACGGTAGACTCACCAGATAGCCCAATGTGGCTTTGCTTTAAAACAAACACATTTGGGCACACTGTCATCCCAGTCGTAGCTTTAAAGTGATAGACATAAGACGTATATTAGATTTATAGCTTTATTATTTTGATAATATCAGTAATTTACTTATATTTTAAAATAAATTAGCATAACGAGCTTCAAGAACTAGGCAGTTGAGTTTAAATATTGATACTATAGCTTGCACTTTTCAAAACATCGGAAACTATAGAAGATACATTGTACAATTTTAAATTAATCGCTCTTCTTCAACTCACGTGTTATCTGTCGCCATGGTTAACTGCTGAAACAGGAAAAACAATTTTCATTCTGTTAGACGTAGTCTCGTGACGTCAAATGGGTTCATCGTATTTATTCAAATGGCAAAAGTAAAACAATCTACCTAAAAACAAAGGGAAGACTTGCATCATCTATCACTTCCAAACCGTGTCTGGTGTAATCACTTAGATACGTCAGCAGCTTATTAAATCTTCATCATTATAAAATTAGGATTAGAAAAATTTACAAGCTTGGTAATGATTAACATAAACAGTAATTATCAACTTGCATCTTACGTGGAACTATATACACTTGTGAATTTGTAATAAGCTTGCTGTAAATAACTATGCAGCAAACTTCATCCCTTCTAACGAATCAGTATCACCCATTTCTTCATGTGAGGTTAGGTGTGTCAAGTGTGCAACAAGATGCAGAAGAAAACGACTTTTCCCGAGTTACCTAGTTCGGCATGAGATAAAGTTTTGACGAAGCATTGAGCTGTTACTCAGTTTCTCAGTCTAGACTCTAGAGGCAAATGCATTTTTTTTTCTCAACAGCAAGAAACTCGTACCTTCCTTGAATAAAGGATTTCAAGGCATTTTTGTTCATTAAATGGCCTGAAGTTAAATATATTTTAAAACTAGTTGGAGTACCCATCATCTGTACGTAAGTTATGTAAATCAATGATTATTAAAAGGTTATCTTAGGACATGAAAAGTTACTTCGTCTATATGTAATTGTAAAAAAACGCCCATAAGAACTGCAAAACACAAAATGTGAAACCGCAAATTTGCATGTATCTCTGCATGGACCCAACAAACCTTCATGCAACACACAGTACTATTATATTTATACATATTTTATTTGACAAGTTTTATAACAGTGTTCTTTAATAGCACCAAAAATAGCGTATAAATATAATTTGTTTTATCAACGAATTCTTAAATCTTTGATAATTTCAAAAACTATAATTCGATTTTTTTTCATGTATGCAATGGGCGACCCTGATAACAAATCTTGTCTGTTTTTAAGTGTGCACAGAGCATGGATAGCCAAATGTGTATCTTTGTGCTTAAACAAACAGATCTCTTTCTCCGGACTCTGAGCGATGGTTCTGTGGTGGAAGTTATTGATATATGGATGAAAATTATAAAAAATCGTATATATTTTCAACAGTACGGTAAAATAGGAAGGATAATTTTGATTTATAAGTGTAATGGAAAGAAAAGATGTATGATATATATATATATATAAAAAAACATGAAATCTTGTCTTTGACTTTTTTTTCAAAACATAATCGGTACTATAGAAAGGCTTACCTCCTTCCTTTTTCAAGGCCTATGGCGCTAAATAAAAGTGCGCAAAGTTTAAATAGTTTGTGAAACTTGCATGGTATGCTACTGAGAAACTCGTAGAAACAGATATGTTTCGCGGTGGCTTGATTGCCTATAATATTAAAATTCATGGTTCGATACCTGCGACAGAACATCACGTATATCCCATTGTGTAACTTTGCGACAAATAAGTAGATGTAATTGTAAAGTATTGATTTGGTAAGTTAGTTATTAAGTTTTATTGTGTTAATACATGTATGCTTATTATTTTGCTATTATGCAATTTTTCAGATCCCCGCACAGCAAACTGGTATCTGATGGATTCATTTGTGCCAACGGCCCTCATAATGGGTAGCTATGTAGTATTCATTGTAGTCGGGCTACAAGTTATGAAGAATCGGGCACCATTGCAGCTAAGAAATGTTTTAGTCTCGTATAACCTGTTTCTTGTGATGCTGTCAATATATTTATTTCACCAGGTATGTGCTTTTATTTGATAATATATGTTTTTTGTTTAGATGAAACAAATGTGCGTATATCTGTGATGTATTGGCTTCGTTTCAGGAAGGAGAAACATCTAAAATAAGCTGACCGTGTCAAGCGAAGTTTTCATTCACTGATGGTTCCTTGCCTCACCAATGTGAATTTGGTTCCGGTGACGCTGTTTATAGTTTAATAAAATCCACTCTTACAGATAATCAGCAACAGTTTCAGAAATGCCGTGCATACAAATATTTTGGGGTGAGAGGGGTGATGGTGAAAAGATAACTAGGGTTACTAAATTACATAACTAGTGCAAATACACTCAGTTACCAGACGTATGGAAATTTTGGATACTTTTTTGTAAAATTAACGTCGTACATGATTAAGGTCAAAATTAAATACATTCAAAATTACGTGGTTGCGCTAAGTTCGGAACAGTGTGAATATGAAGGTAATCATGGTCTTACATTCTGGGCAGTTTGATAACAAAGATAGGATCATAAACTAACTTTTGAACTTTTTACTAATTTTATGGGGTAGGTAGCAGTGCTACCAAAACAAATGATTTCATAGGCCTACTCCAATGCTGGTAGCCTGCTAATACATATCTATGATAAATGTTTCACTGCGCATGTTTGCTGTTTATTACACCTGCTCAAGCAGCAGTAGACACAACGAAAAAACAAACTGCGGCTTGATACAGAATTACAAGTGCCCGTTGATGGATTGTTGCCAACCGGCGAAAATACAGTTTTCAGTATGTAACGAATGATTACAAAAAAAGTTTCGTAGTTCAGTGCATTATATCTTGCAAACGTTATGACATAGGAAGGTGAAATTGGACACTGGTATTATGAGTTTTGTGGGGATATAAATGCTACAGTTTTCTCAGATTGCCACCAGAGGCGCCATTGTGGTTTCTTTCACATACTTCCCATCGGTGTAAGAGGGTCTGTCAATAGCATTGAAGCTAATTGAACTGACAAGTGTGCAGAAAGGCGAACTTGTGAAATGTTATTACATTAAAGGATGCATTGTCGAGGCAGTTCTCAGGGAATACCGTAGAGTTCATAAAATCTGCAGAGGGCAGATTAATCCATTGTTGCTCTGTGCAAGTTCTTGAAATATTTGAGGAGACAAGTTGCTTTTGTGAAAATCCGTGTACAGAAAGACCACCAACACCTACCGAAACTGTCGCTGAGGTCAGCCATGCCGTAACAGGACATGCTATCACAAGTGCACGTGAGCGCAGTAGTGCATGTTATATCGCCTGAAGTCTGGATTTACCAAGTTCAACTGTTGGTAAGGCTCTTCGGTCAACTTTGTGGATGTTTCTTTACCAGCTGCATTATGTTCAAGCACAAAAGGACACGGATTTAACCCGTGTTACAATTTTTGGCAAGACTACAAGTGTATGGCCAAAGACCTGCCAATAACATATGGTCTGATGAAGCATACTTTAACTTTTCTGGAATTGTCAACACGCGCAATTGCATTATCTGGCCAGGAACTAATTCACGTGTAAAACCATGTAATTACCACACCGCAGCATCGAAGTGTGATAGACACTGTGTTTTTCATCCTAGGATGGTGCCTCTCTTCAAATTAGTAACCAGGTGAAACACGTCTTGCAGAAACACTTTCAGGACAGAATCATTGTGAAAGGCCACTATTAGTTGATTTCTATTTGTGGGGATACCTGAAGTCACACGTGCACCATGAAGGGCCTTACACAGTTCCGGACCTCAAGGATACATTTGTCTGGGAAATGGTCAGCATACTAGATGAGGTGCACGTTGTTGCTGTAATATCTATTGTCACACGGATGTAATGCATTCTAGACGCTGGAGGAGCACATTTTCAACAGTTGCTGTGATTGATCAGACATGAGGACCTGGTGGCGCCCATGGCATTTACATCTGCATGATACCCTTAACATTCAGTGCAGTTTCACCTTCCTATGCTATACTGTGCAAGCTGAATTGTACAACGTTCTTTTTAATCACCATTTACTTGTATAAAAGCATTATGCGCGTGTTTCAATTTATACAGATTTGTAAGTATGTTATGTTGATAGCCACTTATGTACTACTTGGCTTACAATAAGCACACACACAACACCCAAATTAGTAAGGGCCAGCTGCATCACTTGGTTTAAACCTAATCTAACAATTGCAATAGTTGAACGTTGGGAAATATTGATGGGGCGTAACATCGTTCAGCAACAAAAATATTCAAAACAAGTTTTAGAAAAACATTTCCAGACATATTACCGGTATGACAAATATCCCAACGGTTCCGGTGCTCTTTATAGATATCGTCAATCGTTCTCTGTTTATTACCTGCGTCGTAGGATGTTATGCATATTCATACTTGTCACTCGAAAACAATTTAAAGACCAGCCAACCAACATGCAATTTTTTTATTATTAGGATAACATTTTAACAAATAACCTAGTATATCCAAATCTTTAAAACTATCTGTTAATGAAATTAGATGTAGCTTTCTTATTTTTTATGATTGATTAAGCACGAAATTATTTTACCAACATCCTTTTTCAATTGTTTCAGATTTTTCATTCAGCGATTGAGTCCAAATACAACATTGTCTGTCAAGGTGTAGAAAAGTCATCACATCCACGTGTTATTAGGGTGAGAATTGGTTAATAATACTTCTGAACTTAATAGGTTCTCGTTTAAAAACTTGTTTCTGTTATTTTTGATTTGCTACTGCTATTATTTACCCAATCTCAATTTTATCGTAATGATATTTTTGTCAAACTTGATTGCGAAAAGCTGCTCTCTTTTGATTTACGTTGATTTTTTCTGCCATTCATACTTATGTAGTAGTAAGTATACAGCTTGCTGATCGTTATTTATCTTTATTACCTATGCTATTATTTTACAGAAATTTCTCACTTAATCATTTCTTTGCAGTACTATTACACCATTACCGTCATATTAAATCAACTTTTTTTTCATTAGATTTGTCTTTTATGAAATATTGAAAATTTTTTGATATTTTCCATCTAAACACTTTTTAGCCCCCCCCCCCCCCAGTGGCACAGCAGTATGTCTGTGGACTTACAACGCTAGAATCCGGGTTTCGATACCCGTGGTGGGCAGAGCACAGATAGCCCATTGTGTAGCTTTGTGCTTAAATTAAAAAACAAACAAACAATCACTTTTTATTCCATCGTAATTACTAATGATATGTAATAAGTGCTTTTTTCATTTCATATCAACCATCGCTTACTTAACCAACTTCACAAAAAATCCAACTGGAACTGTAAGGGCTTGGCCTAATGGTTGGTATCTACGGTTACGAAATGAAAAGTCTTGGGTTAGAGATGCTGAAATCGCTCCCTACTCTTCACTCTGGTTAAAAGAGCTGGACAAAGCCCTTATGGCGGCGGATGCTGCGGTTTGGCTGTAGTCAATAGCACAAATTCAAGAACGGCTGTATCTTAATCCTAGTACTTTCTAATCTCGCCGCTAAACCAACGGTCACATAATGTGTCGTTCAGATTGAAAATTACAACGTCATTTGAGTGGTCAGAAGATGTAAAATCTGAAATAAAATTGTTCTATTACACCATATATCGTTACTTTACAATTTCGTTTTTGTATTGTTTGGTTTGTAGTTAAACACAAAGCTACACAATGGGCTATCTGTGCTGTTCCCACTACGGATATTGGAACCCGCTTTTTAGCGTTATACGTCCGTAGACTTTCCGCTGTGCCACTGAGGGCTTTATAACTTAATACACGCCGCGGAGTAACGCTAAAAGAAAAAAACATCAAGTCTTAAAGAATAGGCTTCATTTAAAAAAATATTAGCATTCGAAATAAGAACGCCATCGTAGCTATAATTAGTATGATAAAGAAAAAAAAATTGGAAGTTGAGACTAGTAGAATAATAATAACAGTAATTACTACGTTAATACAGGTAAAAGCACGTCACATATATATGGCCCGTGTTTTGAAATAATATTTAACAGTTTATACGTCTCTGTTTCTATGGACATACTATCATTAATTCTATAAAACAAAAGTCTTGTGAGAAGGTAGATATCACGGAAGTTACATTTTGCGTAACTGTCATCCCACTTCTTCTGGTATAACATGGTCGGTATTTTCAATGTGTTAGTAATGTTTATATTTATAGAAAAGTTACAAAGGCTCTTTGCCACCGTTCCTAATTTTGAATCACTGATCATAAAGAGACAGCCAATCAATAGCACCCTATCATTTATTATCCACACTAGGAGATTGCTCTCACTTTTATAACGCACCCATAGCTTAAAGTGCGCACAGTTTCGAACCGAGCTTGCTAGCTCTATCATAGGGCCAACTCACACCTTATGTGTTGGTTCCAATCATCAAGTTGTTATGTCACATCTGCTATTGAAAAAAAAAGAGAAAACAATATATGTTTATATATATTTTTCCTCACAAATATACAAAAATAATTTATTGTTATTTAAAAGATAAATACATTTATTAAACTAATTGTTACAGATTTAATATCGTGATCGACTTTACAACGGTAATGTTTTTTTTAAGCAACTAAAACTGCAACGTTTCGGGCTGAAGATGGCCCGCTCTTATGGGCTAAAACGTCGCGCTTTAGATGGCTTACAAACCCATATCCACTGTTAAGATGATCACGATGTTAAATTTTATAATCCAGTGGGATCCTCATCGTGTAATGATTGTTACAAAGGGGTACGTTATCGTCAGTGGCCGAAGAATCTCGGGAAATAAATGTAGAACAGAAATATTATGTGATAGTTTCGTATAGTTCTGATTGTTGACTGTGTAATGTCAAATAATATTAATGTGTATTTTAATTTAGTCGGCCTAACGAACATATTCACAAACTAATAAACCAAAAATCTTTTTAAAGTTGAAAAAGCACAAAAGTATCAGCTAATTATCTGCTACTTAATAGCAACCAAAGGATTTAGAACCGCCTAGTTTGATTAAGCTCTGTGATAGCAGTATTAAACATTCTGTTTCTCAGCCTTCTGCTAGCAACTGAAACTATGGCATTTGTACTGAATACTCAGTGTGCACAGTGTATCTTTATCCAGGATTATTTTATTTGTACTTATTGTTATTACCTGAAGAAGGACCCCAATTAAAATTTAGGTATAAAGTTTATTCATAGGTAAGATGTAGGCAAACATGTTGTAATCGTTTATATATATGATTACCTTTTTTTTTTGTAGATGGCAAGACTCATGTGGTGGTTTTATATTTCTAAGATTTTAGAACTCATGGACACGGTGAGTCGGTTCGATTCAATATACTATTTTTCTCGGTGTAATATTAGTATTTGTATGTCCAGTCAAGATTTGAATGTAATCGTTACAAATATATCAACAGTGTCGTTGATTTTATTCTTTGGTGCAAATTTACATGTACTTCCAAATTATCAGTTTGAATAATGAAAATATATGTACTGCTTGTGCGGTAAAACTTTACCTTAAATAAATATGTGAGGTGAAATGCATTATATATATAAAAAAAAAACTACAAAGTTTGGGTGACCTCTAGGATAGCATTTTTACAATCATAATAAAACAAGTAATTTATCCACCAAATTGTCGATTTGATGTATATTTTTCACTGTCGATGAAGTATTGTTCACTGTCATATTAAGTAGTCCCTCAGTGACACATCCTCAAGTCTAAAGACTTATAACGCCAAAAAACTGGGTTTCGATACCCATGGTGTTTATTGCTCTGTGCTTAACTACGAACAATAAACAATCATATTGATTAATTTTACTTTATACTTATTACAATTCTTAAAGTAAAGGAATGACCAAATAATTAGTGAAATCGCTTATTATCTATGTAAAATGTGTAGTAAATCCCAGTAGTAATTAGCAAAATTAAGTGCAATGCTAGTGTTATTTTTATTTAAATATTGTGTGTGAGTTATATGTGTGTTACTAGCCTTGCTTACCCGTCAAGAAATGAAATGTTGGAGTTTTGTAAAAACCTCCCTCAGAATATATTTTTCTAATTAGTCACATAACCTAAAAATTTCGGTTTAAACACCAAAAGAAGATGAAGCATCCAAAAACAAAAGGCCTAAGGTTTATGATAAATACTCTATTACAAAGTTTAAACCTAAAAATTAATTTCAAGTACCATCATTAGTTAAGACTATTGGCGATACGTTTGGGAAAAAGAAAGACAAATATTTTTTTCCGAAAAAGTAATAATAAAACTTAAAAAACCTTATGAAACTAATAAACACGTACGAATTATGGTTACTGATCTCAAACTTAGATGTTTTTAAAATTCGCCAAGAACTTTAAAATGTCTTCATCAAGCTAAGTATATGTATAAACCAAAACTAAAAAAAATTGGAATTCAAGCCATCCCTCGTGAACGTTCGAAGTATTGTTTACATACTTAAGCTTTGTTGTTAAACGACACAGAAAAACGGAGCTTTACCAAAAGACAACTGATATATATATTAGATCAGTAATCCTTTAACCAACAAAATCGTGGACCCCCAAGCGATGTGATCCATAAATATTTTAAAAATTGTGTTAACACGTGAAGAAGGATATTTCTTCGTTAATCATTTTCTTCTACAATTTTTCAAGTATCAAAATGACGCTGTTACACCTGTTTGCTGAAGCAAATTTAATTCTAGCTAAGTACACTGATATACGTCAAAAAAGTATCAAGCATCCACACAACACAAGTTTCGAAAATATTTTACATATAATCAAATTTTATTCTATATGTGCTAAAATATATTTAGATTTTTGTTTGTGAATTCCTTGATTTAGTTTGAGAGGTATTTGTGTGATGTTCAGATACAATGATATCTGCCAGAAAAGTATCAAGGTGCTATAATGTATTTAGATTTTTGTATATGAATTTCTTGATGTCGCACTGAAATGGAACGTTTAGGTTGAGAGGTATTGGTGTGGTGTTCAGATACAATGATATCTGCCAGAAAAGTACCAAGGTGCTATAATGTATTTTGATTTTTGTATATGAATTTCTTGATGTCGCACTGAAATGGAACGTTTAGGTTGAGAGGTATTGGTGTGGTGTTCAGATAAGTGTCAGAAAAGTACCAAGTATACGCATATCGCAGGTTCCGGAAATCTATTGCGAAAGAATCAAAGGAACACGGATACTAAAGTAACACAAATGTACAAATGAGACTATCCTTATTCTTACAATGGAATTGTAAATCTTAAACTCTGGCCAGCGCTTAGTGCTGATATAAGATTTCAACTGGCTGCTCGAGCCGAGCAGGATAAAGCAAAAACACTTCCACACCAAACAAAGATTAAATGAGGAAAATTGAAATGTCAAATCAGTCCAGAATCCTAGTGGTCAGTCCTTAAATTATCCAATTAATCAAAGAATATAAACCCAAAACTCATACTAATGTCTACAAGTCTTTGTACCATCCCTTGGAATGAATATGACCCCACTCCAGGAGGCCATGATACAGAAGCAGGACCAAGTAAGTATGAGTCTATGGAACCTATAAATATATACCCCCCCCCCCTAGTGGTACAGTGGTATGTCTGCGGATCTACAACGCTAGAAACCGGATTTCGATGCCGGTGGTGGGTGGAGCACAGATCATTGTGTAGCTTTATGCTTGACTTCAAACATACAAACAAACTAACTAAAAGTTTAAAAATATAGGGATGGTCAGCCTAGCTATAATGTGATTCCTTCATTGGCTGCTCTCCACGGAACATTCAACTGTGCATGTGCTGTGTGGTAGCTAGTTATGGCTGCCTCCATCATGCGCATGTGAAGACAGCAATTTGTCAGGTAAAGTTCAAATAGAATTCGTCGAAATCCATCTTTATAGTTCGCTATTCAACTTCAAAAACATAATCAGTAGACCTTCATCTTTTCATATGTTGATCCATTTATCCTAAAATGGGCTTTGGAACTTGGATGTAAACACTGTTGGATTTATTTCATCATTGAACCGATCAGTCACATTTTGACAGCAGCACGGAGCTATTCTAGCCACATATCGTAATTTAAAACGGACACAATACCTTTGAGATGAAAATGTTTGGACCTAAAGGGAATACTTTTATTCTGAAAGCTGAAATTTTTCAATTTAGGCAGGAACTTCTGGTTTCGTGTGAGCGATAATAGGGTTATTTACTAATTTATCGAATACGATGATCGGCTATTTATTGTTCATGATTGATGAACCAGAATATATAACTCCTTTGTTAAAGAGAACCAGAAACGGTGGATTTTTCACAGGATTCAGTGCACCTGAAAATATTCATATTTTGATTTACTCGCACTACGCGCTCGTAGCCCGCTTCGCGCGATTTCAGTTCTTTTATTTTTTCTTGTTGACATCCCTATGTTAAACACAAAGCTGCAAAATGTCTCTCTGTTCTCTGCTCATCATGAGTATGTAAAAACGATTTTTAACGTTATAAACCCTCAGGCAAACCGTTTAACCACGGTGTAAAATGTTCAATAAATACATGGCTGGATTTATACTACTAATATAAATGTTTTCTACTTTGGAGTAAGGCAAGTAATTTGTCCCATAGCCATCGTTGAAAGTTTCTGTACATTCAAAGTATTGACTGTTTCATTGTTTGTTAGTACTTCTCCAGTGATTGACATTTTGGTCTCTCATTCTTTCAAATCCCGACGCTCAGTGGCACAGCGGTAAATCTGCGAACTTCTAAATCTAGAAACCGGGTTTCGATACTCGTGGTGGGCACAGCACAGATAGCCCATTTTGTAGCTTTGTGTTTTACTATAAACAATCATCCAAATCCCTGATCCGCCACTGAATATTGATTTCAATTACATTAACAGTTTTGTTATAGCGTAATATGACTGTAAGCCGTTTCTGGTTTCTTTGAAGATGTTATAAAACTCTATAAAATCTAGCTATGGCTCATATTTTATTAATTCGCAAATGAAATTTCCTATTCATTACGTTAATTGTTTCCAAAAACCGTTTCAGGAAATAATATGAAAATCGATTGATTTTGACATGTATTATCTTTTAGGTAACTGTAGATAATGTTAACTTCTTGTTTTTCAGGTATTTCTGATACTTCGCAAAAAAAATTCACAAGTTACTTTTCTGCACTGCTATCATCACTTCACCATGGTGTGCAATACCTGGCTTAGCGTTAAATATGCTCCAGGCGGACAAAGTTTGTAACTTTACAATTGTTGTTCCTCTTTTTAGTGTGGGTGTGTTATTTTTATCTAAGGTATTGTAACAAGGGAATTCAGTAGTCTGTATTTGTGTACTCTGTTACAAAATACTGAAGTTTGGAAGCTACCTTGATAAAATAATTTCGATATGTTCAATTCCAATGTTTTTGTATTCTTAACATGTATCTGTTTAAGTTCTGATTCCTGTAATTTATGGTAACTCATCACATAGTCAGATGAGGCACACAAGTGATGTTTGCACCTGGTAGCCTACAAGCAATTTGAAAAAAATCTTGTAAAACTCAAATCTCAAAATTAATTTCTAAACAACATTTATGCCGTAGATTCCTTGATTATGTGCTCTATAATGATTGAGTATATAGTTTTGGTTCTAAACAACTACTCATGAAGATAAAAGGGTAAATAGATATAAGTTTAAGAACATTAAATTGCTACTCGGTTACTACCCTTTTTTCAAACTTAAAACTGAATTCTAAGAAGTATTAGTAAAAATTAAAGATGCAACTTGCATATAAGTTAAAATAACATTAGAAAAGCTTTTACTTGCATTTGGAACAGTAATGACAAAGCAGGTTGGTTTAATTCCAGAATGTGTTGCTATAGTTGAAAATATATATAGTCTAGAAACAGAGAGAATACAAGCTGCTTTTATTGCACTTTCTGTGTTTGAGGCTACTACCGTTACAATGACTGTGATAGAATATTCTTCTTTTTATTCCTTGCATCCTTGTTATCTTAGAAGAATATTGAAGGATTGTTTTAAAACACCTATAGAAGAACACGTCAAAAGCTTTTGACTGGAAGTGACTTCTTTTAATAATTCGATTATTAGAATAAAAACATTTTTATAGGTACCATTTTAATATACATTAAAACTACTTAATCTTCTTCCAGATTTTTTTATTGCGCTCTTAAACTCCTTTGTCCACGTGATCATGTATTCATACTACGGCCTTGCAGCTATAGGACCTCACATGCAGAAACATCTGTGGTGGAAACGTCACCTCACACATCTACAACTGGTAAGACCGTAACACAGATACTCTGGAAATAGGGCAAATTATTATGAGAATCCTATGCTAAAGAGTTACTGACACAAATGCATAACAGAGTTCCCTACTAAACTATTGGACTTGATAACAGTGTATAATTTTAAAACTTGACGTTTTTTTTTTCAGCAATGAATTGGTTAAGTTAGTCTATTTCTAGGTTTGTGGCTATATTTATTATGGTCGTAAAGAATACCTTGAGAAACAAGCTACATGAAAGTCAGTGGTAGGTCTCTTGCCCATATTCTGTTTCCTAAGTATTAAAAAAAGCTCATTTTTAAAGTTATTGAACGTTTAATTAACTAAATATTTTGATCAAGTGTTGACATAGTCCATTTTATAATTCTACCAAAGCGAGCTCTGTTAAAAGTAAACAATGTAACCGTTTTTTTTTCTGTTGTTGTTTTTTTTTGTAAAAAACAACAACAAAAATACACACACATCAGATTGTGTACCTAATGGTGATGACAAAAGCTGAAAGTTTATTCAACCTGTTGTGGATGATGAATGATACCACTTCCTATAAATATAGATGTGTGTGTATGTATTGTGATAACTTGTTACGTGAGGAGTATAATCGACTATAACCAAGAGACTAAAGAACCAGTAACAAATCATTACACATTTAAAGATTAACATAAAAAATAATAAGTTAACAACAGTGTAACTGTGTTATATCGTCTAGTGTACCTTATTTGTATTTTAGACATTTTTGTTGTACTTTTTTAGAGAATGTGCAGCGTCAGTAACATTTTTAGTAAAACCAAAAGGATATTTAAAAAATAAACGGGCACGGGTGGGATCTGTAGTTGAGTCCTGCACTTCGGAGCTGGCAAGCCAGGTTCAGATCCGGGAGATACAGCTAAAATATTTACTGCACTTTAAACTGTGGATGCGTTATAAGTGTGACAGGCAGTTCCATAACGTCGCTCGTGAGTGGTAGGGTTATGATGACTGGCTACCTTCCCTCTAATCAGTAATTCAAAAGTAGGGACGCCAGCAGATAGCCTTATTATCTTTGCCATAAAATACAAATTCAAGAAACAGTTTATTTACAGGACAAAAGTCAATCCGGTTGAGTAACCTGTAGAATTACTCGCAGAACAAAGTTTAAAATTACGATAATCAGTTATATTACTTTCAAACCCATTACAAATGTAAATAAAGATCGATATATACATGGCGATCAAATCATAACGTCGGAAGACACTCATATTTTTAACCTTTAACCTGGATCCCCTCCCACACATTTATCGGAGTAAACTATGAACAGTCAGTTATACAAATAATAAATATCATCAAATGAAAAGGATATTCTTACTTATCGCTGCTACAGATACCGCTGATGAACGAATATTTTTTAAGCAACTTCTTTTTGGCGAGGAGTTTGTCATCAAATTCTGAGCAATTGTCATTCATATTCACCCTTGTGGTACTTTAAATAAATGCTTCACTTCTTGAAAATTGAACAATGGCTATGAACATGACCTTCCGTTTTCGGGTGACGTATGCAATAGTGACATCATAATATCTGCTGTTGCCTGCCTTATAGCCAACTTCAGAGGAAGCAGCAAAGGCTATGCTGAGCCATTCCGAGCCAGGCCTTTTTTTTCATGTATTTTAGTAGGCCAAATTGCCCCATTACTATAGCCCAAAATAGCACTGTTGGGCCAAACATAGTGTGGCGTTTCTTAATCAGTGTTAATATGATTAAACATGATATTGACAGTGCCCTTTCACTGGCTTGGCACACCGGTCATTTCTGCATAAATAAGGCCTAATTCGAGCTGTGTGATATTTTTATTCAGGTAAAAAAATCCATATCTGTTGATTAACGGTTGCCAGAGGCTTAAGTTAATAACTAGAAGTATAAGGAAGTTACAGATTTCTGGTAAAAAATGAAAACTGGGATATTTATCTGTCGTGAGAAAATCTGCCCGGACACTGGAACAAAATTCCAAAAACCGGGACTGTCGAATGAAACTGGGATGTCAGAAAAACCCTAATTTTAGAAGTCTTGATACATCGAGAGACAAATTAAAAATGAACAGTCTACAAAATTATTGACAGTACAAAACAATAATTTTCTCTTTATTTAGCTATCAAAACATGCTCCCAAGCCAATGAGGCCTGGAATAGCCTCGTGGTTAGGGCGCCCTCATTAGGAGCTGAATGATTTCAGAGAGTATTCAGGTCTTGCTGACTGATGTGCTAGGTTGACCGTGTTTTTACTTAGGTAGATAAGAGAAGGCTTCTGTTATCATTATTTTCCTCCTATGATTTTAATATTATTCCATTTTATTGTATGGCCTTCTCACGTTCACCATGGAGGAGCTATGCGTTTTTAAGGAGAGGTTTTAGTGGCGTGTTTATCTTCATTATTCTTGGCATCTTCTGTATTACAAATCTAGTTATTTCTGGAAACAAGGAAGTCAGTGACGCCCGTGTTTACGATATTTTTGTAGTTTAATGTATGTATATATATCAGTATCTGTGTGATTCCTGTAAATTCATGAGATATGTGTCTTGGTACAACCATTACATCAATCTTCTAGTTCTATTAAGAATTTTATAGCAGGATGTTGTCTGTTCAGGTTATTCATAAATTATGGAACATTGAATGCAGTATGTGACCGCGTTACGAATATAACCGAGCTAAACACTGGGTCACAGTGCAGCTGTTTTGAGAGTGTTATCTTCGTAATGTTCACTGAGTGTTGCTGATAGGGTAGGTCCTCTTTTTTGTCGGAAATAAGTTGGGTTGATACACAAAGTTAAGTTATTTTTTATCGTGAAGATTGCCAGTCTGATGCAACTGGAGAGACCCCAATTGGATGGGTAACGCGCCAGACTCTTATCAAGAGGACCCAGGATCGAATTCGGACACCCAGTACTACATATAGCCCTTCTTAAGAGTTCATGAACAACCCAAATACAGAAGTACCGAATAAAAATATATTCATTTCACGTTCAGTATGTACATTATTATTCGTCACTTCTGTTTTCTGGCTACGTTTTCCTCCTCATGATTCCGTTCTCAGAACTTTAATGAAGAGGGCAGCAGAACAACAGTCAAAGTATATGACATAAACCAATTGGTAAAAAGCTATGTGGGAAAAAGATAACTACTTAATACTTAAACTTAGGTGATCGTATAGGCCACTAATTATGATATCAGTTATTACTGCTATACGTAATGTCTTTTTAACGTATTATACCTTTACATTTTACTTTGAAAAATACCTTATGTAAATCTACACTATTATCACATTATGCTGCTGTCACATATGTAATTAAATAATTTGGTTAATTTTTTTCAGCCGAATAGCATTCATTTTATTGTTATACGAACATGGCAAGATGCTTTATAAGAACCATGTGTCATTGCTACTAACTACAGGTTTTACATGTGCACAAGTTAACCTTGGATGTCTGGTTTACTTACGTTGTGCATTTACAGAACTAAGCCCACATTTTAACAATATACCGGTCAGATAATAGGTTAGGTGCTATATTTCGTTGCTGTAATTTCAAAGAGGGGCGAATACTAAACTTTGTTTTTTAGGGTGTATTCTAGTAGTTTGGCCTTTATACTTGTATAATTATATTCCTTTTTACTGTTTGTAATATTTTATTTCAACTCTGATTCATGAGAAGCGATTACCTTTTCACAACTGTTAGCAAACGATGAATAGTTGGTAGTTTATAGAGGTGTTACAGTCACGTGACTACTTCTTCTTTATGTCGCCATGTTGGAATGAAAACAAATGTGAAGAGGTGTTAGATTTGTGTCGTTAGACTTTGCGCATGGGCACTTATGCTCTGCTAACTTTGATAGACCGTGTATTTCTTCCGCTGTGGGGATCGTAGTTGCGAATTAATATATATTTTACTGTTGGCAAGCATGTAGTTTGTACCCTACTTTTATTTGTCTGCCCTATTTGTGTGGGTTTCGTTGTAACTTGACTATTTGTTTCATTAAATTAGAGGTGGTTTTCTGTTACGCCCATTTCTTCACACACGAAACGTTAGCTAACCGTTGAAATACCTTTAAATACAAATTTCAGGCTGTGAATTTATGGTTCGTTGCCCTTTACCGCAAGAATTTTCACAATTTGGAGTCGTGGGTGCGCTATAAGAGTAACAATCACATCGCACTATCCAGTCAGACAGCAGTAGTTGTTGGTGGGTAAGCTGCCTTTTCTTTAGTCTATCAGTTTAAAATTAGGGACGATTATGCGGAGATAGGTTTTGTGTAACTTTTCGCGAAAAACCTGAAACAAACAAACTTTATATTTCGTAAAAGTTCAACCTTGTTTGGAAACATCAGTTGTTTTGGTATTTCTCGTAAAACAAATAGCGATTTTAAAATAGATTTAGAAATAATTTGATTTTATAAAATAGTTTTGTTGAAGCAAGAATAGTACGTTTTTATAACAATCTTCATTTGTGGCACCATGAACAAGAATTTTCCTTTAAACGTGATAGGTGAAGCTTTTTTTCAAGTATGGTATCTCGGGTATTCCCCCTGCAGTTGTTAAACATTCTTGTGCTTATTAATCTTCCACGCAAAATAAGCTACATCAAAAAATAAACAAGGAAAGTTACAAACTCTCGACAGCAATTACGTTGTACACTTAAATGATACATAGCAATGGCCTTGGAAACACGTTATGTATATTTACATTTATAACGATACGAGTTAGTATTCTATAGGCAGTTATGCCCGAATCACTTTGGTTAAAACTGGAGAGAGATGTTTCTTTGTTGTTAATCTTAAAGGTACAGAAGGGGCTAGCTGTGCTCTGCCCACCGCGGGTATTGAAATTTGATTTTTAACGTTTTAAGCCCTCAGGCTTATGTATGAGCCACCAGGAGGCCGGGCAAAATGACAAGTCTGTATGTCGTATTGTTTTGTGCAGTGCGTGTGTAATCTCTTGTTGTGGCTCTGAACACATTAAGAAAACTGTATACAAGCTTTGTATAATATGTATATAATGTTACTAAATATATGTTTAACCTAAAATTAACAATTAAATAATGCATATTGAAATAAAATGAATAAACTCGGTCTATCAAGGAAACTGTAGTAGTTGTCAAGATATGAAAAACTTAGATCCAAGTTGTTTCAAGGCCGATGGATAACCAACCATTCATATAAAAATAGACCTGTTTCTGCTGCTATTTTATTACTGCTTCTTTGTTTCGTAATGCTGATTATTTGATAAGACAACATTGCAGATTAACCGAAAAAATCATGTTTTCAGAATTAAGAGTTGACTTGTGATAACAGTTTTTTTTATTCCATCTAGATCCAATTTTTCGCTATGTCATCTCACATTCTAAGTGGAGTTATCAACAATTGTGGTTATCCGATTTGGTTTGGGACAATCCAGTTTTTATACGTCGTTTCTCTCATTATTTTATTCACTAACTTTTACATGAAAGCGTATTTACAGGATTATAAAAAGTCAGTAATTCAAGCAAATAACAAAAAATATGAACTTCAACTCAACGGCAAAACTGACTAATCGTTAACATCTTAGTTATGTTACTTTAACTATTACTTTTGGAAATATTATTTACTCTCATACTTGATTTATAAGTTACGAAAACAATATCGTTTGATGTAAACTTTAATATAATGTTTCACGTCTCATTGATAGATTATTGTAACTTAACACCCATCACATGGTTGACGGACGATTTGTTCTATTCCTGGTACAGCATCTGGTTTTGGCTAAGATATCAAAGTATTAAATGTGTATTATAACGCCTCCATACTGGGTTGGGCATATTAACTTATTGTTAAGTTTTAGTAACTCAAGTTTATACTCAATTTTGGATACTGTGTAAATGACGATTGATATCGAAAATGTTATTTTTTTAAATGTATAGCGTTACTAAAGAAAAGTACACTGTCATATTATATAAACTTCTTGTTTTGGTCTTGTACACTGAACTTGATGAAAAATTATAAAAGTTTTTGTAACAAGTAAAACAAAAATAAAAGGTTTAATGTATATTTTTTATTATTATTTAACAATTTTGCGTTTCTTTTGAGGTACACATTTATGTAATATTTAGTTTTGAACCGGTTCAGTGACTCAAATCCACGTTATTTTTGTGTGTGTAATTACAACAGCATCGTTTATCATTAAAGTCATAAACAATTGTAAAGGTAGGAAGTTACCGACTCATGACAATTATTATACAAAGTATACAACGAAACACTGTGAAATAATGTTCTAATATTGTAGTTAGTACTAGAAGTTGTGGTGTTAGGGCATGGAACATTAATAATTGACAAAAAAATCTTGCATGATCTACCTATCAGAGATATCAGCAAAATAACTTTTAGGAAAGTCGTTCATTATCTGTGAATTCAAGAAATTGAATGATACACACATACAGGAATATTTCAATAAAAAACAAACATTCAATACCCATCACCCATAAGTAGAATCATGTATATATACTGATTCCATTTTATTTTATAATACCTTAGGTTTACCAAAGTGTAAAATATTGTATTAGCATATTGATATACCTAATGTAAATCTTTGACAATCAACACATTCTGATCCAACCTAAAGTATTCCCAATGTTTTTCCAATCTGATTTTTAAGAAGAGTGGATCAGTAAGGTTGTTTACATACGAAAATATGCAATACATTCAAAAGCACTTGCAGTGGAGAGAGTGCAATGTATCTCGAAATGAATGAAGAGTTGTTTAAAGGTTTACAGGAAAATAAATGTAAGAGGAAGAGTTATTCAACTTCATCTAATATATACTTGTTTTGTATTCCTATGAAAACTGTCTCTTTTGTAGTCTCATATGTGCATGATTTATTTTGAGACGAGTTTTGAAGCTTAACGCATGCAAGTAGTATACATACATTTGGGGACATCCAGACATGTGGAGCACACAAATGCAGATTGTCAAGATCTGATCCCAACGTCGGCACCGATAAGATGTTTCACTCAGGTCGCAGGCTTAGTGGGTAATTTAGCACAGCTACCTCAGGAGGTGAATTATACATCACATTCACTAGGAGCTACACTTTACGTCCAAACATCAGTAATTCTGGTGAACAATCAATCAATTGACCATAGCTGTATATATCACATGTGATCATCCATATCAATCAGGTCATATTTTACAAACACACACACAAGAGTGTTTAATTCATTCAGCCAAACCATCAAGTTGAGGATAATGTGGTGAACTACTCTTTCTCATGCTGATTATTTTATACAACTCTACAAACAACTGGCTATTGAAGTTTGCACCAGAACCATACCGGTAAGAGGTTCTGTCTCAAACCTATATTTTATATAATTTTATTGATTGTAACTAGTTTTACAAAAGTAATTTAAATAGTTCATTTAACAGAGAAAATCTTAAGAATTTATGTGAAAAGCTTTTTAAATTTTTATCTCTTATATGGAAGTCATAAGTAAAATAAGTGTAATATTTGTGATAGTGGAAATATCTATCCTTAATTACCAAGTGTTCACTGTCAGTAGGATCTCTGTTGCTTCTGCCTGTTAGAACACTTTTAATAATTTCCCTAAAATTGAGTGAAATCCCCAATTTCTCATGTAAAATACACAGGGTATGCTAGCAGTGATTAGTATGACTTACTGTAAATTGATGTTATTTCTGTATAATATAATTAATGTTATTAGGGATCCCATAACTAGCAGTTAATGACCCAAGAACAATTAGTGCATAAATAATTTCAAATAGCTGAGAAGACCCCACTGGTAATTCTATGGATAATTGTTACTTTTTTTACACTAAAATAAAAAAGTAATATCTGGATTTCATGAAAATTATACATGTGCAAGTTTCAGAAGCATTTCTTGGGTATTTTTAATGGAAACATCATCTAAAATGATTATTGTTCATAGCTCTATAATATATGGTAAATAGTGGAACCAGGAAATATTAGATTGTTTGACATGTGAATTTTCACCTTGCAGAGAACCCTTTGAAACAAATCAAATTGTTATGATTCACAAGTGAAAGATTGTGAATTTTTTTAATGAAATAAACAACAAGTGAAGATGAAACTCAAGGAAGTTTAAAGTAATAATTCATTCTTCACATTAAAGTGTATATACATTGTTCAACTATTTATAACTTCTGATCAAAACCAATAAATTAGTCAGTATAGGTACAAGATATATTAAATGAATACACAAGAAAACTGAAACCCAAAATGATCAGAATGGATTGAATCAACAATTGAGTACCATTGCTATTAGAAATATTTTCTGCCATAATCCTGCTCTTAACAACTCAGGAAGTTCAGCCATCTTAATCCTAAATCCATATACTGAGCTTACCATATATAAAAAAAAATTAAATGCAATTTGAAATATATTCAAAAGTATCTTAAACATTAAAGTCAATAATATTCATGAAATAAAGTGTATGTCAGTACAAACTCACTTACAGCTATTCATAATTCATTCATTCTCTTAATAAATAAATAAAAGAGGAGGTGGATTGTGATAGATACTCAGGCAGATAACATTTCTTTACAAATCTGGCTCTTCAAACTCGCTTCTTAAAAACAAATAGTTCTTCCTTGTCTTAAGTTATTGACTATTCTTCTCTAAGTTAGAGACAGCAAACTAACTTCACAGTGGAGTACAGTCCATAGCTAATGTTCTATACTCCAGGTAGATCCCTTTTTATATTTTGGCATCTAGTTATGACTACCTTAAGGTAAATATTCCCTGGTTGAATAAAATAAAAAAAGTTAAAAAGGAGGTGAAATAATTTCAAAACCAAAATGTGAAAAACTGTAATTTGGAAAATAAGTAGCTGAAGCCTACTTAATATAATAAAGTAGACAAGAATAGATATAGCTCAATATCAGTTTAAAAAAAAAACTGGAACATGAGGAAAGCTAGAAACTCAAAATACACTTTCACACATTAGAAACCTCAGAACTTTTTCAAATACCTCTGGAATGAACAGCTATATAATAATCTGTTCTCTGTCTTCATGAACAACTTCATTAGTACAAATTGACTGGTACCAAGAAATGTACATTCTTTTACTATAATCAGAGCGACACTTTTTTCATGAAATATCAAAGACAAAAAAGAAATAAAAATATTTAATGTTAAGATTAAATAATGATTAAAAACTTTGAGCAGAGAATAAAAGCAACTGAAAATAATTACAGAATCAGCCTTTCCTCAATACAACGTAATTTCAGATATTTGATGTGAATTACAGTCCTTTTGATAATTACACTACATACAGGTATAACAATTTAAGCAAGTGTTAACTCATCCAAAATACTTGACTTTCAAATTAATAACAGTAACTGTTTTACTTGTTAAGAACAAGATGACATCAGCAACAAGTTATCCAATCCACCGTTTATTCAACATATAGTCATTTCTTTATGTAAACTTTACTAATATTTATGTCATCTTATGTAATATACACATATATGATGGTTATAACCCTATCATAACTTAGAGAAAAAAAGCATATATCTTTACTGAGGTATATTAACATAGAATTATACAAAATTTCAGTATAGCTTGTCTGTACACAGATGGATTTTGAATATAAACAGGATATATTCAACTGTGAACTGTTAATCCTGCCTCAAGTTCACACATATGGCCAGAACTTGTGCAAGTGTCTGTCTGTATATAGCCAGTACACTACATAAGTCATTAACTGCTTTTATTATGATGTCTAACCTGCTAAACCTTATGCATAATATTGATCCTGGAATTTTTTTTATAATGAGACTGGTCTCCTGATGTGAAAAATTCTGGTTGAGCTTGAACTACTATCACAGAGAAGCCATACAAAGATTGAAACTTATAAAGATCCAGTAAAAAACGCATGTCCTAACATCACTTGCACATTTTCCTATTACTTCATCAATAAATGTTACCTTTAAACAAATGTGTTTATTCTTCATTTGTTTGTACAAGTTTGTGTTCTGCATATAAATTCTAACCTTCCATTCTCTAGAATTAATATTTGTCAGTTTCTGTTAAAAATATCAAAGATTAAGTTCTAAATTACAATTTTTGTGCCTGAACATTTGTTTTTGTGGATTTTTAAGTCAAAAATATTTCTCTGTTTTCTGCTTGTTTCTTCTGTTAATTATTGAGTTCTGTATTTTGGTGAAGTAAAAAGGTCTGAAAGTCCATTCGAAGATCACAAAGACTTGATGAAGATGAGGAAACAGCAACTAAGATCTAAGAATGTAGTAATCTTTAAGAAGAGTCCTCATCTGAAGTCCACATTCTCACAGATCCCGGAGCTACAAGGTATCATGAAGAATAGGTGTTGCCAGCAGCTTAGCCACCTGGAGGCTGAGAAGCTAAACTGCTGGCATCTGTATTCATTGTCACTGTCCAGTAGTGATGATGCAAAACAGCTTGCAGACATTCAGTGATACTGCTAAGGAGGAGCTGAAGTACTTCAAATAATGGTTTCAAAATCAATTGATCTTTAAGTCATGGTTTCAATGCCAAAGGCTGACAAAGCATCTGAAGTTTGTTAATAAGAATCACTGTAAATTGTAAATGTTTTTTTGTTTTGTTTTACACACGTCTCTTAACTTACCCATTTTGGACTGAAAATGAGAGGCAAGTAAAAGTAGCACTTCAGGTGTATCATTTGTCTCTCACAGGTTACTATCTAAGAGACCATTTATCAAGTACTAGAACTCCTCATATCTGAAATACTAATTTACACGCCGCCAAATGGACAGATTAAGAAGAACGTGGAAAAAGTAACACCTGTAGTTTACATTTTTTATCACAAACTTTAAACCTATACATCTTTAAATTCTAAGACAGATCAAGTTAATTGGGAGTTTTGTAAAAGATGTTAACTATTCCTTTGGTCTGCACACATGTACTGTTAGAATCAACATGAAAATACTGGTAGTTCTAACAGCTTTTTAAAAAATGTTAAAAGAACTTTAATATGAAGTACTTATTTGACAATAATATTTTTGGTCAATATCAATATATATATTTAATAGTTATATTTTGTTTTCTATACATAACAAGTTTTTACATTTGTCCATGTTTTTGAATACATTCAACAAAAAAAAAGGATTTCTATTCTCTTGATAAGCTGCTACCTTAGAATATACTTGCTAATACACTATAAAATTGGTTGAGACAAATCATGTTATTTTGTTATGCTTCTGACTGTTGTTTACAATTGGTTTGAATATACATAATCATGCATGGATTATCAGCTGGCAAAAAATACCAGAACTCCTTGATGGTCACTGGCTAAACACCAGAACCCACTGGCATTTTGCCAGCTAACAACTGCTAATTTTGAGCCCTAGAAATAATCCCCAGTACCAGTGGTTACCTTGAAGTTATTTTTACATATTGTCTAGCAAATAAATCATTTTCTAAATATGACTGTCATTAAAAGTATACAGTTGGTGGTTTTTAAAGACATGAGATCAAAAGCAACCTCTCATTAAATACAAGGAACTTTATTAAATAAAAAATAGTATTAAAAAGTAGACATTTGAAAAAATCTAAAATGTTACGTGCATTTAAGTAATACACATATCTAACTTCACTAAGTGCTTCTATCTCTATATGTGTTATATACAGAACCATAATATGAAGTAATTTGGAACAAAATAAATCAATATCATAGTTCAGCACCATACTTTACAATTTGAACATTTACAAGTATGTTTGGTTGAATTATGAACATAGGGGCAAATTCAAGCAATGTATAAACCATCAAGTTGCTCTAAAAGACATAAAAATGAAAATAATAATATCATTTGCATACCCAGTTTTCTTCAGGATTAATTGGAAATGTTATTAAGTACTGCAAACCCTTTTTAATATTCCTAACTATACAATCCAGGGTACTAGTTAGTAACAGTAACACCTAAAGTGTATACTGATATTGTACAGTATCAATTAAATGATGACAATGGTCTCTGTGTTAAGATGCATGATGATTCTATCTCTGAATAGTTTCTACTCAAATAAAAACCTTTCAAAAAGAGGTTTTCTTGATTTTCATTGCCTGACTTTGTTAACTTTAAGAAATTACATTGCATTGTTGAAATAAGATCACACAACTTTTGCTAGAGATTTGGAACATGCTTCACCTCAAAACATAACTTACCCTCACTATTCATTACAAATGAAAACACTTCAGAAATTTGTTTTTTTTTCATTCTAGTGCAATACAATTTATAAATAATGAGATTTTCTTAAAACTCCAACAGTAAAGCAGATTTGATATTTCTATTAAATGCACAGTAATAAAACAGAAAATTTTATCACAAAATATAAAAGAATACTTAAAGAAAGATATCAATACTAAAAAGCTGAACACCTTAGTTACAAATAAGCAATAACCCTTTCATACAGTGTTCACATCTATATAAAATCAAGATTACATCTATATAAAATCAAGATTACATCTAGTTACTTAGTATGTTGTAAACATTCCATATCACATCATAGATATTATTAGCATAAATCAAAAAGCAGCATACATCCATAAAATACTTACGTCAACAAAATATCAGTATTTAACTCAGTTATTTAGATAGTTTGTAGACACTTCGTTTCAATGCACTTCCTAACATACATTGAAAAGACAATTTGATAATTTATTTTACTACTTACTGACCTTGGGAGAAATAAAGATTTGTAAATACAAAAAAAAAAGTTTAGTGATACCAGGTGGCCTTTAAGAATACCTCATACTTCCAAGAATACATAGTAAATTAACAAATAATGATGTGTAAGCAAAAGTTTCAAGACTCAGGTTTTATATAATCTTTTAAAGAAAAATATTCTGACAGGAACTATTGATACTTAATAAAACAGTTATTGTTGCTGCAAGAGCTTAGGACAGATAAACTAGACAATTTTGTTACCACAAAACAATTTTGTCTTGTTTTCTTACAACAAACAATAACCAGCATAATTGCCATTTCTGTGGTATTTGCCAATTTTCTTTACAAGTGTCTCAATAAAATAATGACACATTTCTGAAATCTTAATATATGTCATTACTTTTTTGCTTTAAAACACACACAAACATTATAATATGAGAAAATTGTACCACCATGTAAAATAGTGCTATCACTCTTAATTACACAGAAATGAATATCTTAAACGTTTTGCAACTAGTACAAACATTTAATACATATCAATATCGATCTTTTTACTGAAAATAAGTCTATGATTGTAAATTAGTTATGAAACTATCAGTTTTTAAGTTGATATAAGTAGGATATTTACTTCAAACAACATACGTACTCAACATTAAAACTACAAATAATTGTGAACTTACCAAGTCATTCCTACTTGTAAATACCAATACTCGTGGTTTTTGTGGCTACATAAAAGTACAGATCTAAGTGATAAATATACATTTGCTGGTCAACTATAAGTTTTTGGACCAACAACACAGTACAACCTTTGATTACATTAGTTGTTTTTAAAGAAATGTAGTTTTCATCCCAAACTATTACTTCTTTATGTCAGGTGAAAAAAAATGATGCATTTGCTTTGAGATTCAATTTATACACATTAAAAAATAGGAAGTCAAACAGATTAAAGGTACAGCAACTTATATTTTATACACATCCTTATGTTATAAGTGCATCCTGATCTGAAGAGTCTGGGTTAGGAATGACAGATGGGTCAGTCTGTTCATAGGTAACATCAGATGATGGTCTTTCATCAGTTTCCTCTTCGTAACGACGTAGCAACAGATTCATCTGTTTCTTACTCAGATTAAGAACTCCTCCCTGGTAAAAGCAAAAACAATAGATCTCACAAGGTTCCATAAATGTTTAATACAGGTTTCACATCAAATTTCTAAGATTTTTTTAGAGAGACAAGTGAAAACTTATTCTATGTGACTAAGGAAAAAAATTATTATCTAAAGTTATTATTAAACTTAAATGTTAGTAGTAAGTATCAAATTATAAGCTTTATATTAATAATAAAACTAAAAGCAGGGGTGTGGTATTAAAATAACCTGATACCTGGGACAACAAGTTTAATTGTTACAATTTGCTCACTGGACAATTATATATATATATATATATATTGTTATGCCTCCGGTTGTTAGTTAATATTCCGTAAAAATTCTTTCCGAAGAAACTTTAGCGATACAAGTCCGTTCTTAAATAAAACTGGTTTATTCTTTCCGAATACAACTTTGCAATACACTTAATTTCCACAGTCGTGCT